CCATAAGTGGAATGAGCATTTACAATTGACATTGTTTATGTGTGGGATCTCAAACTTCGCATGTGAATGTCGACTCAGACGCCTTGTCCATGTAATCTTGCTTTGTCTCCTGGTGCTAACAAGAAAACTTTAGTGCATTTCTTTAAGTTCTTTAAAGGGTTTTAATTCTTATTTTGGGACCATTATTGTGTAAAAGTTAACTGTGGGCGACACATTTAGTATATCAGATAACACATCAATGGTGAATGATGGAAAATTAAAATTTGAGCGATCGTCTGTTTAGCAATATGTACAAGGTGTTTGATGTGACTTTGGTGCTGTGACTCAATAATTCATGTTTTATCAACTTGGTTTACTCATTAATAAGAATTTAAGCAAAAAAGAAAGATCTTATATGCAATCATATATACAGTTGCAGCACTAATTTCTAAAGGGCCTAAACTGATATTGCCCCAATTCAAAATCAGTGCAAAATGTTGCCATTTTCCACCTATAACTATACTGACCCTACTTTCTAACTTTAAGATCAAAAGATGCAAAAAAACAAAAACAAAAGTTAAAAAGATAAAACTAATCCCATTCTATTACCTGATAGCTAAATATATACTAAGTTTGGTGATTTCGTACCAAACCTTCTTCTTGTAAAGGTGCAATCCTGATAAGAACTTCTTGAGGAGGTGGGATTACAGGTGCTGATGTACTGGCCTGGCTGCATCCTACTATTTTTTGGCAAGTTTCAATTAGGCAGTGCCTGCAAGTAGGGCAAGACGAGTGTGAATTCAACCATTTATCGATACACCGAACATGGAATCCATGGTTACACTTTGGTAAGACTCGAATGCGTTCTCCCCCAGTGAAATCGGAGAGGCATATTGCACACTCAGTGTCTAAACCTGGAAAGTTAAGATCACTGGTGTAACTTATTATAGGGAATGTTCTGAGGGCCTTTTTCTTTATTCCTGTGTTGGCTAGACGCGCAGATAAGGTATCATCAGAGGATACTAAACTTGAGCACCTTAGTGCACACCTTATGATGGAATTTAATCCGAGTGAACAAATTAAGGCACACAAGAGGACTGATAGGACCATTACCACATTTGCATCGAACGTGTTGTCCCTAGGTTCTGTACTAGACGGGGAAATTGCTGTTGTAGTTGATACTGGTGGTGAACTAGAGAAAGGAGCGTGGAGTAACAATCTTCTTGAGTGGACATTTTTCAAGAATTCTTGAATGATAATAGATGAATGGGAGTAGATAGAAGGGGCAGCAGCCATTTTCTTCTCTGTAGTGTGTTCAGAATTTTGTTGATGGAGATTTTCTTCTGAGGTGGTTGCACATGGGGGAATATATAGAGGGAAAAGGTTAAAAGTGTGGATCAACTGTTGGAGTATTAAATGACCCCAAAACTATATTTTCAAACTAATCTTGATTTTGCAAGGTTTGGAGCCTTTTTAAGGTTTTTTAAATTTGATTAATATTTGATATTCCACTAGGCTTTCCAATCAAAGATGGGCCCGACCCACTTTCTCGATAGTAATGGGTCGTGGCCCCGGACCCTAAGAAGGGAAGAGGAAGTTTCCTCTTTATGGTGACATGTAGAGAAAGGAAAAACAAAAGAAAGAATATCTAGTAGGCTGCAGTTAATTTTTTTCTTTTTTGAAATTTGAAAATGCCAGGTTCCAAATTTTAATCAAACCCAAACAAGATGGAAAAAAAAAAATCAAGCTCGTAAATGTTTCGAGTTGAGGTGGGCAAAAAATAAAGCTCGAAAATCAGTCATGAACGTTTCGAGTTGAAATGTTACAATTCATGTTATAAAAGATGAGCACGAGCGATAGAAACTACTGTTAAGAAAATAACAAAGCGCACAAGTAAATCATGAAAGTTCAATTAATTGCATTAGCATATAAAAACTGGCACAATACCTTGCTCTAAACTCAATATGTTTTACAATACAGTCTAAGAGGGTTTCTGCTCTAGTAGGATGAGATCTACTAGCGTTGCAAAAGTGTCTCACACACTTGAGATGAAATAATTGACAATGTTTCACTGACTTCACAAAAACTAATGAACTTTTGTCTCTATAAATAAAACTCCCTCTGGCCATTCATTTTAAGTAACAAAAAATGCACTCCACTTGTTGAAACTATGTCGGATATCATAACGACTACAATAACTAATTTGACCGTTTGCGTTGAACTCGCATGACAATATAAACTAACCAACAACTACTATTACAACACCACGCTTTAATAATCGCATTATGACCAACTAATTTTTTTTAGTTAGAAAAAAAAAATTATGTAAAAAAAAAAAATCATGTGTAATTTTTTTTTTTATCGTATTAGCCCGGCCTGTAATCCGGTCATGGATCCGTCCTCGTATTTACTTTTCTGGATATTTTATACATATATATATATATTCACAATAAGTTATCTCAGGCTGCTAATGGCTGTTCTGCATTCATCTCAATCTCTTATGAAGTCAGCTTTTTTTTTTTATCACAAATTGCTTGGCCAACGGTATCTCGTCCTTTAACTAGGCAAAGCATTATAAATATTATGCATGTTGCAAAGCTACGTGCTTATATATTCTGATCGTACCTAAGATTTGGAAGATATAACTTTTTCTATGTAATATAATATAACATCTCTTTCAATATGATAGAACGGCGCGAAAGTTAAAAGGAATTATTTTTTTGTGGAGTGTAGAAATCTCCTAATCACAAGGTGTAATATATGGATGTGTGATGTAGCGTAGCCTGGGTAGGTGGGTTGGGTTGGGTTGGGTTGGGTTGGGGTGGGGTGGGGTGCGAAGGGGAGCTTAATTAAGATTTGCTTTTGAATTTTTCATTAATAAATACTAACATGGAGCTGGACCCTGTCTTTTTGTGGGTTGGATTACACTAATTGACAATGTTGTTATGTAGACCCACACAACAAAAGATATACATTGAAACACTTTATACTAAATGGCAGTAAAGATTAATGATGTGCATTAATCAAGGAACATGTCAACTCATATGTGTTAACTGGAGCCGGACCCTGTCTCTTTGTGGGTTGGATTACACTAGTTAACAATGTTGCTATGTTGACCCACACAACAAAAGATATACATTGAAGCACTTTATACTAATTGGCAGTAAAGATTATTGATGTGCATTAATCAAGGAACATGTCAACTCATATGTGTTTACCAGTTCAGACGTAACATGTTTTATTATCTTTAACAATCATAAATACAACAAGAAAACGAGTGATTTTAGGATGAATTATTTCTCTACATGCATGCATCCAACCTGATAAGATAATTCAAAAGTGTGTAGCTTTGTTATGTCCATGGATTTTCTTATCGGTCGTTACATTCTGTTATATATGCGTAATTCTAAATATAATCGAGCAATAAAATTGTTAAGTAATAAATGTCAAATCGAATAAACATGAAATAAATAATCAACATATATGAACTTGGACTACTCTTCTTAATAATATTGAATCTTTTAAGTTGGACTATCGAGTCTTGAGCTCAAATTGAATAAGAGTTTATTAAGCTCAAACCAACCATTTGGTTCATTTAAATTTGCTCAAACTTGCGAATTTCAAGATCGATGTGCTCAAACAAGATACCATCTTGCGGACGTGTTAATGAATAAACACGAAATAAATAATCAATATATAAGGATTTGTGTCTCTTAATAAGATTGACCTTTTTAATAATTTTTTGACAAATTTTTTTATTTTTAAATTTTATTTTTTGTATTTACCCTTTTGTCCTTAAATGAATAAAAAACTTGAACTCTACTAGTTCAAAAATTTAAACTTGAAAGGAACGCTTGTAATAAGGTATGATTTTACTAAATTAGAGATTAGTACTTTCTTTTATACGTTTTTTGATTTTCTTGTTAATAATGTACATTAATTTACGTTCCTTTGTTTCCTTTTTCCATCACAAAGTTTCAACTTCCTTCATATTAACAGATAATGTTTAAAAAAAATATATTTTCGGGGGCAGCAGGGACCCCTCTACTGCGATGGGCTAGTTCCGCTCCTGGTTGAACTCTTTAGTGAAAAATTAGGACTTTGATAGGGAATCTCGAAAAACCGGGTCTGGGGTATTAACTCGTTTCCTTTCAATGGAGCACTGTCCAACATAGTACAATCCACGTTACGCGATAATAATTGTTTCTTTTGTTTGTGTGGGTAAGTGCTGAAATACACAATAATATCCTTTGCCACATGTCCCTTATTTATAGCATAACCCAAAGACCACATGGCCTAAGCCTTAAAGTGACAACAATCCTTAAAACTTTTTATAAATGAGTCTCCTTTCAGTCACATATATTTTTTGACGAGTTTCATAATTATTTTATTTTATGTATAAACAAATAAAAGTAAGATCCAATATGGTAATTTGCATGTTATCTGCACTTTACTTTCTCAGCATTGGAGAGTGGCTTATCTCTCTTGTTGTGGTGGGACTGCAAATATACACTACCATTTTTTCTCAATATTGTCTAGTATCACACCGCAACCAGCACAATCAGAAATGTGGATATTCTACAGTTTGTTTCTTTATGCTATTTATTAGAAAAAATATTGGTCATAACTCAACCAAACAAAATCTGCTTGTTAGGGGAGGATTGCTCTCACCTTATTAAATGGATCGTGTAAATATCATCATCCAATGTGGCACTCTAATACGCCCCTCACGCACAGCGTGTACCATGCCAAACAACTGTAAACAAATCGATAATGGGTGCACCCAACAGTGCAAAATTGGATCTGCTATGATACCATATTAGAAAGGATGTTGAGCCTAACTCAACCTAACAAAACCGGTTTGTTAGGGGAGGATTGCTCTCACCTTATTAAGTGGATCGTGTAAATATTACCAGCCAATGTGGACTCTAATACTATTAGAGAGTACTGGCCTTGGTTGAACTTAAGAGCATGTTGCGACATTCTAGAAAATTAAAGAGACACACAGTGTATAATACACGTTCACAGGGGTTATCGTTAAAATTTGCTAATCGACTGCCAAGAAAAACCTTTACAAGGCTGGAAACTCCCTCTTTGAACTTTCGATACTACTCTGTTCATGCAATTTTTAAATAGAATATTAAACAATTTATACCTATGATAGAACTTTCAATGGACTCTCTGCATATAGTTACCGAAAGACCTTTGTGATAGATTCGTATTTGAACTAAATTGATAGAATTTGATATGAATTAAAGCCACTTTCTGACTGATTTGATAGCCAAAAACCAAAAGCTTTGCCTTATCAACTCACTTTTGATACAGTTCTATCACATTTACAAACACATTCTTTTTCTTTATTCAATTTGTTTAAAATCTTGCGATCTTCTCGAATTGTTCAATAATTAAATATGTGGGTAATTTTTTAAATATATTATTCCTTTAAGATTGTACCTTTTGAGTTTTACTTCAAAGAATATCTTTTGAAACTTTAACTTTCAAATGGATCAGGGTAAGTATTTCATGCAATATAACATTGAACAACAAGACTACGGTGCTACTTGCTTGATATTCATGTTATCCGCTAATGTTTACATGAGACTTTTCTTGGCACTCGCTCAGCATAATTTATAGGGTGTTTGATAGATATTATTAAGGAAAGAATGTATTTTAAATAATGATATGATGAGAAATACGTGGTTAAAAAGTAACGGTCTGTTAACTTTACTGTTTTCAAGTCGTTTTATGTTTTTGATTTTTCAAAACAGTTTTCTTTCCTATTTTTGAAAATGCGTTTTCGAAAACAAGTTAAAAATTTACAAAGAAAATAAAAAACGACAAATTGGGTGTTTTCAATTATAATCAAGCCAAAATTTTCAAAACGCATTTTGAGTATTTTCAAAATGTCAAAAATAACACATTTTCAACAATCTCAAAATGAACACTCAAAACACAAAACCCAAAATGAATTCAAAACTTAAAATACAAAATTGAAACACAAAGAGAACGGCCCCTAAGGAAAAGTTATTGATGTGATAAAAAAATTATTTTATTGAAGAATGTATAGTTGAAAATGAGTTTTGAAAAAAATATATTTTGAAAGAATATGTATCAAACAGGGGCTTAATATTTTTCTTAATTCAGAAGAGAGTAACATATTTGAAATATTCCTTTTAGCAACACGTCTTCTTATTTTTGAGGTTAATTGGTTATTTGATCGAAGCAACAAAATCACCAGTCAGGCAGTAGTAGGAACCTTGTATTTTTTACCCATCACAAGTTACAACAAACTCTCT